ATACATATATTCATTTATTTCATATATTTGCAAGTTCCACCATAAGAACTTGTTTTAAAAGTTTCCTTGAAATTGCAACAAGCACATCTAACCCCTGACATCTGGGTCCCCACTCTACAGCATGAATGAACACAAGCAAAACTCCCGTCATTTTTTTAAATTATTATTTCTGCAGCATTATTCTGAGCTTAAGTAATATTGCAAATGAATATTTCATCTCCATTTCACACCTGGCACTCCATCATAGATGCCAGGCAGACTGTGGCTGTGACACACCACAGTGGCACAGACACGATCAGAAGCTGTAAATATAGCATCAGAGTCTTGGCAGGAGCCGGCGACAATCTAGGACCTAATCTGAGGCAGTTATCAGCATCTGTTGCCTGGCACCCAGTTCTGTGGGGGTTTTAGTTATTCATCTATTGCTCCATATCTGTCAGGTTTTTTTGCATCTGATTCCCCGTACAGAAGATGTATTCAGACGTGTGGGAGGATGTAGCCTCTCCAAACCCACAAGTGAGTCAGTCAGTCAGTGTTACACACGTCTGCTTTGCTCACCTAACCTAATTGCATGACGAGATTACGGTTTTGAAATTGATTAGTTTTGCCAATGTGATGAATATAATATGTTAAAGGCCCTTTAAGTCTGACCTTGAAGGAGCCCTGCTTTATAATTTGCAAATCTTTAGAATGCTTTTCATGAATCACCCTGTCCACTTAACCCATCGTGTTTTTAAATCATATAACAGCATGTAGATGTGTTATCCAATATGTTATTTATATTTATATGAAAGGATGGTTTTAATTTAATTTAAAGACACTCAGCTGTCATTCATTCATTCAATCATTTTTGAAACTAAGCTAAAGTAAATGGGGAAACCTTGTAGTGTGATTTGTTTGTATAAGAGAGGCAAGGACACAGGACAGTGAATCTGAGGACACTGATTCTCCACAGCAGCCAGTCAGTATAGGCTGAGTTAATTGAAGAGCCTGAAATAGAGACTCTTTATTAGTGCTGGAGAGGCTACATGCACCAGCAGTCTATCAGGAGTTACAATTCTGACTTTGCTCTCTGCATGCCCTCAACATGAGAGAGTGAGATAAAAGGGACGCAGTCATCAAAAAGCACAAAAATGCTGCATAAAACATAGAAGGGGGATGGGGACCGTGTCCTAACATTTCGAGCCAAATTGCAGTGCTAAAGTTAGTTTATGTGCAGCTCTTGGAACATCAGACTGCGCTGTTGTATCTTGAAATGACAGATTGAAACAGAGCTGATGTTTGACTGTCTATAAAGACCTTTTGACCACACTGCATGAACCAGTGATTGTCCAGACCACTCTCAACACAGCTGTGCTGCATGTGGCCTGAAACAACCACTGGTTGGCTTGTTTTGTGTTTGCATTGCACTCTACTGGCAGCTGTTATGTATTACAGAGAGAGAGAGAGAGTGAGAAAAAAAGAGCTGAAGCTTGCAGTTGACACTAGGTTATGATTTCAGGTCTACAGCACAGAGCATTCACTGTCACTCTTCTCATGACTGGAGGTCTGGAGGAGAAAAACAAAACAGGCTATACAGCTTTATCACAAGATGTGACCTCTTAGTTTTGTTTTTGACTGTTTTAATGCACAACTGAGTTTGCAACCTACATTAAAAACCTTTTGATTGCAAATATTAATGTGTGCACTGTTGTTACATCACAAGCAAATCAAATACTCATTCTAAATGTGTAAAATACTTTAAATGCAAGGTTTTACTCAATAATAATAATAATAATAATAATAATAATAATAATAATAATAATAATAATAATAATAATAATAATAATAATAATAATAATAATAATAATAATAATAATAATGTAGTAACTTTTATTTTATTATAGTGCATGTTTTTGTTCTATTTTGTCTGTTCTTGGGGAAAAATCTACTTGGCCATGTTTTGTGGTCAGGTTTGTTATTGTAAACTGATTTACCATAAAAAGGTTGGGGGGAAATGCACATTCTCTAAATCAACAACTTTTTCTAACAAAAAGAAAAACAAACTATGGTCCTGCAAATCAGCCAATAAAACAGCCTGGAGCAGCAATCTAAGAAAACCACTAAACAAAGAACTCCAGCAAAAACTCTACAGGCATGACGTCACGCACCCAGCCCATTTTCTACAAAGCTTGCTTTTGATTGGGCAGCGCTCGTGGCTGCTACTTTCCTATTGGTCGAACATGTTGTCACTCGCTCAACTACTGGGCCTTGTGTTCCGCTGCGTCGGGAATCGGGAGGACGGCAAATCAAGTGAAAGAAATCTTTTGACAGAAGAAAACTTCATGCTGGAGTTCTGAAACAAGTTTAGAAAGCCCCATGAAGGTAAGAAGACGAAACAGTTCGTACATGGTGTTGACTTTGTAAGTCTGTTGTACTTTTGACGTTTTTCATCGCGTTGTTTGGTATAAAGAAGAAAAAAAAAAGGGAAAAAAGGATGTTAACCAAAGCAGTCAAAAGCTACTAGCAAAAATCTCTCGAACAAATGGCATCTTTTGTTCGATTTTTGTCATTTAAAAACATTTGCTGATGATGTTCATCGGTCAGATACGGTTTGGTCTTCGTGGCAGTTTAAAGTGATTTCACTGTGGCTCAGGCTGTTAACTAACCCTTAATTAACTCATGAACGAGTGAGTTTTGCAGCTATGCCGTTTCACAGTTGGTAAGACACTGAGTGGTGAAGCAAGTGGACTGCTGCTGCACAGAATCAGAACCTGGTTCGGCTGAACAAATCCAATTTAGTCTCCAGACATGCTGGATCTGGTCAGAGCTCCCAGGCTCTGCTTCCCCTCAGTTGACCCCCATCTCATCATGGCAGCTTGTGGTCGCACAGATAAAGTTGATATTCTTTCCTTTTCCCATTAGAATACATAATTTGCACCATGATTTAAGTAAACTGAAAAGGCGGCTACACAAAAATGACTGTCATGATTCCAAGTTTACACCTATAAATAAAGCCTGAATAATAGGTGTTGAGTATTGGCAATGTAGTTTAATATGTGCACAAGAGCTTAAAGTCCTGACTAAAAAGGGAAACAGCTACAGATTAGATTGAGAAGATTACCCTGAAAGAGTTATTTTTAACCCTTAAGCGAAACATTAGTTATAAACAGCTATACGTAAACTCTGAACCTTTTTTATTCTGCAAAAAAAGTGTGTATTTGCAATAAAATGTGTTTTTAATACATCCTTGCAGATGAAGCACATGGCTGACCAGGCTTAAAACAAACATGGATTATAGGATTACGGACTCTGGGGGTTTTCGTCACCGGAAGTGGAGCTTGGAGATCATGTGGGAATATTTGTGTTTCCCATGCCACCGTGCTGCGTTTGCGTGCCCCACGTGCTTGCTAAGTCTATTTCAGCAGAGATCAGGTGAAAATATCATTAAAACGACGACGAGGAACTAAACAAGCACGCATGCACGCACGCTTCTCACAGTGATTACAGTGGCCTGTGAAATTAGCAGGCAGGCCTGTAAAACCCAAACCAAAGGAGGCATATATGCTGTAGTTTAATTAGCATTTTGCGCCCGCGGTTTAAGCCACAGACCATGAGTGGTGCTCAAAGGCAGAACTAAAAACACCGTGGGGTCTCGCTTGTGAGAGGCCCGCCACTGCAGAGCCGTGGCTCATTCCTCTTCTCACTTCTGCTCACTGTTCTGCAGAAGTAAATACACACAGTTTCCTACAGCACTGTCTGACTTCTTTTTTTTTGGCAGACTAATTGAAGATATTTGGGAAATGTTGTAGCTTCCTGCTCAGGTACGACATATGAAGGGTTCCCGCCTTTCACTGGTCAACCTCTTCTAAAACAGACCGTCCCAGCCTCTCCTTCATGGTGCGAGAAGTTGTGATGACCACAAAGTGCTCAGAGCAGAGCCTGCAGAGTGAACACTAATTTTCTTGTGAATCACATCTCTAAAAACGATGCTTCAGCTACATAAACAGTGTTTCTGTGATTCAAGCTGGGGTGCAAGTGTGTCATTAAGTAGTCAGTCATCACTCCATCTCAGCGATTCGCATAAGAAAACTGTGTTTAGTGTAGCAACATCACCAGCTTTGATCTTATTTCAAAGCGAAGCCCGCATATTTTCACTTGCGCAGAATGCAGTTGGATGTCTGAGATGTGGACACCACGGGGCTTGTCAGCAGAACAGACACAGCTGTGAGATTAAAGCGCAGAGGCACTACAAAGGAAGTACGTCTCATTTCCAACACAAAATAACTGTCACGGCACCCATTAAGGGTTGGAACCTTCAGCAAAACAAAAAGAGATTTTAAAGTTATGCTGCATGAACATTACCAGCCAGACAACTTGAAATCTTTAACACAAATGGAAATGTTTGGATCCTGTTTGTCTACGCCCAATTTGCATTGTTGACATGATTTTGAACAACTTAAATAAGAAAAAAGTTGCAAATAGTTTAGCATTTTTTTAACTTAACCCCCCCCCCCC